AGAGGATCGATCCAATGAAGGGGATCGATCCACTCTGTGGATTTTCAGCCACTGTTCATTCGTCTTCAACCTCGGTCCATTTTTCGGGAAAACCATTTTTAGTCACCGAACTTCAATTAAACTATATAGAGATGTTCTCCAAGGTTCATAGATCATATTAGAATTATTAAAACATATTTTTAACATCAAATTCAAGGTTTATGATTCTTGGTTCTTCAAACATGTCACACACAAAACTCAACCAAATGACCATTTATGAACGTAGAAACGACCTATATGAACATTCTAGTCATTAGATATATCTAGGGGCTTACCTTGAAGCGTAAGGGAGGTTTTGAAAATTTTCCGGCGAAACTTCCGGCGACTCTATCTCACTGCTCCGGCAACCTCACACAAAGATGACAGCACCACTGGACTCTACTCTCAGCAAGGAACAATATAGAAGGAAGTATGAGTTGTTTTGGTGATGAAATGAGGGAGTTGGGTTGTCCTTAAATAGCCAAGTGAGGAAGGAAGAAGACATGGGTTGCAGCTTCTGTGATTGAGCGACAATTTGGAATCGGCGTAATTGAACAGGGCGCCGTTTGGTGTGTAGTCCCTGATTGGGACTAATTTTGGTCTCAGTTGGGGTACACTTTTTGTTCCAATTTTCTCCAAATTGAAATCCGATTGAACCGTTGGGGTCAGACAGTCAAACTCTACACAACGATATAATTTTTATTAATTATTGACAAACTTTAGGATTTACTTATTTTTGGATCCTTCTCAGTAATTAATTAATTATCAATTAATTAATTCTGATAGGCCTATTTTCGGGGCGTTACATTATTAATCCTTCGAAAATCGGTAAACATTCTCAACAACTCTATTCACCCCCTATCTAGAGTTGCACACCTTGTCCAACAATTAGTATCAGAGCGGGTATCTCTAACGCTCTTTGTGACGTTTGAGAAAACGATCAAATTTTTTTTGAGAATGTTGAACGCAGGGATAGGAGAAGGGCAATCCACCCTAAGGCCGCCATTTTTTGATGGAACGAATTACTCGTATTGGAAGGAGCGTATGAGAATTTTTGTTCAATCTAATAACTTCAAAATTTGGCTTTCTATCAAGAATGGAGATAGCTTGCCAATGAAGAAGATAGGCGATACACTCATCCCGAAGGACGAGGATGAATATGATGAAGCCGATATTAAGAAGGCTCAATTGAATGCCACCGCCATCAACTTCTTGTATTGTGCTGTCAACGCCAACGATTATCAAAAGATATCTCGTTGCCAAACCGCCAATCAAATGTGGAACAAGCTCATGATCACATACGAAAGTATGCCTCAAGTTCGTGAATCAAAAATTGATTTACTAACCCATGAATATGAGTTATTTGCTATGAAAGAGAACAAACTTGTAGAGGACATGTTTGGAAGATTTTCAAACATCGTCAACGACCTTGATATGCTTGGAAAGACACTTACCGACAAAGAGCTAGTGAGAAAAATTCTGTGAAGTCTTACCAAGGAATGGGAGTCGAAGGTTAACTCCATTTACGAAGGCCGAGATTACAACGTCATCACATACGACGGTCTTCGAGGTAACCTTATCACTTACGAAACAAATCATCTTTCTCATACTCTTGACGTTAAGAAGAGAACGGAAATTGCTTTTAAAGCATCATCTTCTCAAAAAGTAGAGATTGGTGATTCGGATTCGGATAGTGATAGCGGTAGTGATTCTAGCACTTCCTGTGATATTTTGGTTGAATGTTTTAATGAATTTTTGAAACATGATCTAAACAAGAGCAAGAAGAAAAACACCCCAAAATGTCACAAGTGCGGAAAGCTTGGCCACCGAAAATTTGAGTGCCCGAAGCTCAAGAAGATGAGCAAACAAAATGAATTCGCGTATTTTTCGTGGAAGTATGATGAACCTTCCAAAGACGATTGCCTCATCGCTCTTGAAGAACAAGATGGGTGGTCGGGTACGTGACGCACATGGAAGGCGTGCTTGAAGACTACAAATTTGTAGTGGATGCTCCAAGCACTTAGCCAAAGAGATTGCATCAAAGGGGAGTAAATATTATTTTTTAAAAAAATTAAATGTTATCTTTGAGATTTATTTGTGATAATTGTTATTTATTTGAGAATTTATATAGGATGTTTTGCATATAGTAAGGGGGAATTTTTTTTTGCTATATGTGTTAATCCTTTTGTATGCCTTATTTTTAAGGGGTAGCATAATTTAAGGGGGAAGTATTTTATTTCCTAGAAATGCATGATTTTAGGGGGAATGTGATTTTTCTTAATTGTTTAGAATTTTTTTTTGTCCCCGGATTGCATGAGTTCTTTTGTTGCATTATTTTTGATAATTCCAAAAGGGGGAAGAGTATAGGAGTATATGTTTTAATTTGTTATTTGTTGGTAGCATATCCTCCATGTGTTTGTCATTATAAAAAAGGGGGAAATTGTTGGAATGCATGAGTTCAACCCTTTCTGTGTTGTTTAGTGTTGACTCACAGGTTTTGATAATTGACAAACACAATTTATTCAAGTCAAGATTAAAGTGCTGCAACGACAAGCACGAAGACTTGAAGTGCCATTCCTTGAAGTACTCAAGAAGGTGCACAGGATTTTGTTGAAGTCCGAGATGCGTTCGGAGCGCCTAACGGAGGACTCGGAGGAGCAGAAGATTTCCGAAGACTTTTTATTTCTTTGAGTCTTAGGAATTATTGTAAGGATGACAAAAATATCTTCTCTCCAAAATTATTTTTATGAGAGTTAAAATAAAAATTATATTTATTTTTGGAGTCAGTTGAAAAATCTTTTTAACTGTTCAAAATAGTTTTATTGAGTCAGTTACAAAAGGTGTGCCAAACATTTATCAAATATTTATTTTGATATTATAAAATATTTTTGGTAAGCAAAAATATTTTATTCAAATATTTTT